CACCTGACACACACACTTGTACTCACCTGACACACACACCTGTACTCACCTGACACACACACCTGTACTCACCTGACACACACACCTGTACTCACCTGACATACACCTTTTTTCACCTGACACACACACCTGTACTCACCTGACACACACACCTGTACTCACCTGACATACACCTTTTTTCACCTGACACACACACCTGTACTCACCTGACACACACACCTGTACTCACCTGACATACACACCTGTACTCACCTGACATACACACCTGTACTCACCTGACACACACACCTGTACTCACCTGACATACACATCTTTACTCACCTGACATACACATCTTTACTCACCTGACATACACACCTGTACTCACCTGACACACCTGTATTGTCCTTTTTTCAGGTCCAGCAGATTCTGACCTATGAAGACTCAGTTGCAGCTCACCTGTCAAAGATTCTGACCTCAGACCAGCACTCTGTCGTCATCTCATCGGCCAAGTACGTACGTGCGTCCGCCCGCCCGCACGCCCGTTTTTGTGTTGTTGTGTTGATGTGTTGTTGTTGTTGTGTAGTTGTGTTAACATGTTGTTGTGTTGTTGTTGTTGTGTAGTTGTGTTAACATGTTGTGTTGTTGTTGTTGTTGTGTAATTGTGTTAACATGTTGTTGTGTTGTTGTTGTGTAGTTGTGTTAACATGTTATTGTGTTGTTGTTGTGTAGTTGTGTTAACATGTTATTGTGTTGTTGTTGTTGTTGTATTAACATGTTGTTGTGGTGTGTTGTTGTTGTTGTGTTAACATGTTGTGGTGTGTAGTTGTGTTAACATGTTTTCGTGGTGTGTTGTTGTTGTGATAACATGTTGTTGTGGTGTGTTGTTGTGTAGTTGTGTTAACATGCTACTGTGTTGTTGTGTTAACATGTTGTGTTGTTGCGGTGTAGTTGTGTTAACATGTTATTGTGTTGTTGTTGTTGTTGTATTAACATGTTGTGGTGTGTTGTTGTTGTTGTGTTAACATGTTGTGGTGTGTAGTTGTGTTAACATGTTTTCATGGTGTGTTGTTGTTGTGATAACATGTTGTTGTGGTGTGTTGTTGTGTAGTTGTGTTAACATGCTACTGTGTTGTTGTGTTAACATGTTGTGTTGTTGCGGTGTGTTGTGTTAACATGTTATTGTGTTGTTGTTGTGTTAACATGTTGTGTTGTTGTTGTTGTGTTAACATGTTATTATGTTGTTGTGGTGTGTTGTGTTAACATGTTATTGTGTTGTTGTTGTTGTTGTTGTTGTGTTAACATGTTGTGGTGTGTTGTGTTGTTGTTGTGTTAACATGTTATTGTGTTGTTGTTGTTGTTGTGTAGTTGTGCTAACATGTTTTTGTGGTGTGTTGTTGTGATAACATGTTGTGGTGTGTTGTGTTGTTGTTGTGTTAACATGTTATTGTGTTGTTGTTGTTGTGTAGTTGTGCTAACATGTTTTTGTGGTGTGTTGTTGTGATAACATGTTGTGGTGTGTTGTGTTGTTGTTGTGTTAACATGTTGTGGTGTGTTGTGTTGTTGTTGTGTTAACATGTTATTGTGTTGTTGTTGTTGTTGTGTAGTTGTGCTAACATGTTTTTGTGGTGTGTTGTTGTGATAACATGTTGTGGTGTGTTGTGTTGTTGTTGTGTTAACATGTTATTGTGTTGTTGTTGTTGTGTAGTTGTGTTAACATGTTTTCGTGGTTTGTTGTTGTGTTGTTGTGATAACATGTTGTTGTGTTGTTGTGTTAACATGTTGTGGTGTGTTGTGTTGTTGTGTTAACATGTTATTGTGTTGTTGTGTAGTTGTGTTATCATGTTGTTGTTGTGGTGTGTTGTTGTTGTGTTGTTGTGATAACATGTTGTGTTGTTGTTGTCGTGTTAACATGTTGTTGTGTTGTTGTGGTGTGTTGTGTTAACATGTTATTGTGTTGTTGTTGTTGTTGTTGTGTTAACATGTTGTTGTGTTGTTGTTGTTGTGTTAACATGTTGTCGTGGTGTGTTCAGGGTCCTGTGTGAGACGGTGAAGGATTTGGTGGCTCGTGTTGGGAGAGCGTATGAAAAGAACACGGAGAGTTCAGAGGAGTCAGACGCCATGGCTAAGAAGGTGACTCATCAATACACTTTATTATTATTATTATTATTTACAACTCACTCTGTCATTCATTAATCTGTGTGTGTGTGTGTGTGTGTGTGTGTGTGTGTGTGTGTGTGTGTGTGTGTGTGTGTGTGTGTGTGTGTGTGTGTGTGTGTGTGTGTGTCAGTGTGGGGTTCTGAAGGAGAAGCTCGACTCGCTCTTAAAGACTCTGAACGAGGAGTCTCAGGCCTCCACCCTGCCCCCCCCAGCTCCTCCCCCGACCATCGAAGAGGAGCAGGAGGAGGCCGAAGGAGTCGCACCACCTCCTCCTCTTCCTCCTCTTCCTCCTCTTCCTCCTCTCCCTCCTCTCCCCCCCTGCTCCTCTCGCTCGTCCTGCTCTGCAGCAGCAGCCATCTTT